CCAAAAGGAACCACTTATTAAGATTTAATCCCTTAGGTATAAAACATAGGAAAGGTACCTAGTAGAGAAATATTTTTCCTTAGTCTGTTTTTTTTTCCAGTACCCCATTTTTTTTTGGAATGAGAGTCTTACTCTGTTGTCCAGGCTGGAATGCAGTGGCATGGTCACAGCCACCACAGCCTTGACCTGCTGGGCTCCGGCGATCGTTCCACCTCACCCTTCCAAGTAGCTGGAACCACAGGCACGTGCTACCACACTCAGCTAATTTTTTGATTTATTGTAGAGACAAGGTCTCGCCAAGTTGTCCAGACTGGTCTCGAACCCCTGGGCTCATGCAATCCTCTTGCCTCGGCCTCCCAAGTGCTGGGATTACAGGCTTGAGTCATCATGCCAGCCTCAATGCCCCATTTTGTTCTTGCTCCCTTCTGAAAAAATTCATCCATTCCCCACTCCCATCACCACCTTGGTCTCAAAGAAAAAGAAAACTAAATTAACACGTCCATCAGGCACAGAGGCGCATGCCTGTAATCCCAGCACTTTGGAAGGTCGAGGGGAGAGGATTGCCTGAGTCCAGCAGTTTGAGACCAGCCTGGACAACTTGGTGAGACCTCATTTCTGCAGTAAGTCTAAAAATTAGCCGGGCATGGAAGCGTGTGCCTGTAGACCAAGCTGCTTGGAAGGCTGAGATGGAAGGATCACCCGAGTCAAGTAGGTTGATGCTGCAGTAGCTGTGAGTGTGCCACTGCACTCCGGCCTGGGGCAGCAAGAGTGATTCCAACTCAAAAAGGAAAGAAAGAAAGAAAAAAATAATACTTCCAATGAATTTGAACAACTACTAAAAAAAGTAACCTGTAAATTATTATAAATTATGGCTTATTCTATGCTATTTTACTATGCTATTTTATAGCCATTAAAAACTTGAATTTTATTTACTGACATGAATATTTTAAAGAGAATTGAATGGCTACACTCAATCATGGTTTCCTATAAACCTCTGATGATGCTAAAACTGAGAAGCAGCAACACTAATATTAGGTGGGAACTTGGCTTCCATGACCTATTGGACATTAGGGCCTAGAGAAGAGACTCCAGAGAATGAACAGAATGGGAAGCCAAGGGAAAGTTGGATTCCTGCTGGGCAACTGAATGTCTCACCGGCTAAGGCTGTTCACTGGAGAGACAGACTGTCATGTCTGACTTGTCAGTGGAGAGTTGCCTGCTGCAGATACTGGAAAAGTTTTCTTGATCTGACATGATTTGGTGCTAATTTAGGGACTTGTTTAAACAACTACTGAGCACTCACAGCACCCCAGTCACCTTTCTAGGCAAAGGGGGTTGTACTGATGATGAAAAATACACAAGTTCATATAGTGTTAACAATGATTAAAATAGGGCAAAATAGTTAGTGACAAGAGAAGGAATACAGAAGGGCTCAAGGACTGTATCACAAGGGTTAGCCACACAAACATTTAGATAGGAGTGAGCCAAGCAGCAGAAATAGCAAGTACAAAGGCCCAGACAGAAATGAGGCCACTGTGGCTAGAGCAGTGCAAGCAAGGGGAATGTAAGAGGTCACAGAAGAGGGAAGCCAAATCATAGTGAAAATTGGATATAACGAGATGCTATTGAAAAGCTCCTGGTCTCTTCAAATTCTAAAGCAATTATGTTTCCTGCTGTGTAGATATTTTAGGGTCATACTCAGTGACAACATGAGCAACGCCCTGGATATGGTCCCAAGGGGGCTAGAGCCTGGGGAGGGTTCATAGGGTGGCCAACCCAGTTGTCCCTTTCCCCAGTCTCCATGCTTGGGTATGCAGGTCATGCTGAGGCTGTGGGCAGTGTTCTCTGCGCCTGCTGACTGCATCTTGCAGCTGTGCATAGTTTATGTTCTCATGCACCCTTCCATGAGGCCGTTGACTTCCAGGCTGGTTCAAGCCATATCAGGTCACCTGGATCAATGCCCACAAACTTTGGTTACCTTTAGCTTATTATAGTATTAAAACCCCTAGACTGAAATCACAGTTATTTTGTGTACATGCAATGTATGAAAATCATGTGCTTGCACTATTCTTGTGTGCTAGAAAAATCACCCTTTGCATTGTTTAACCCTGCACTCCACCCTATGGAAAATGCTACACTGACTTGTGTGTCTTTTATTGAGGAGTGATTTTTTTCTTCTCTCGCTCCTGGACCTTCCCTGTAAGTTCCTGAATAAAGCATATGTCTCACCCATTGACTCCAGGTCATTTCTTTGGCCTCTCGGACACAGTGCATCCCCCTTGGTGGCTTTTGGGGGTCCAGCACAACAGATGGATGGGACAAGAGCCAGGTGAGTGAACAGAAGAAAGAGGGAGCAGTTATGAAGGCAGTGCAATAGTCTAAGTGGAAATAAAGACACTCTGGCCTAGGGTGGTAACAATGGAGATGAGGCAAACTCAAGATCCAGAAAAGTCCACAGGATTTGCACATAGACTAGATGAAAGTGTACAGTCAAGGACTTACATGTTTTTTGTTTTTTCTTTAGACTAGAAAGTAAATTAGAGCCGGGCTCGGTGGCTCAGCCTGTAATCCCACGCCTTTGGGAGGCTGAGGTGAGTGGATTGCCTGAGCCCGCGGGTTCGAGACCCGCCTGGGCAGTGAGACCTCTCTACAATAAATAAAAAAATCAGCCGGGCATGGTAGCACATGCCTGTAACTCCGGCTACTTGGAAGGCTGAGGCGGAAGGATCGCCGGAGCCCAGCAGGTCGAGGCTGTGGTGGCCGGGAGCAGCACTGCACTCCAGTCTGGGCAACAGAGTAAGACTCCAACTCAAAAAAAAAAAAAAAAAAGAAAATTAGAGAGAAAGAGGAGATTCATCTTCCCAAGGGAGGGAAGGGGGCCAAAGCCAGGAAACATGGTCTGGCCATGGCTCAAAGAGCATATCACCACACCATAGCTTAACAAAGCAATGGCTGCAATGGTTTTACATGTCTTTTAATTTGAACAAGTGACAATAAGTTAGTACCAGTTACTGGAATGGGGAACAAGTTGAGGGAAAAAACAGAAATCAAGATTAGATTATGTGGAGAGACTTATTAAAGGTTAAGGTAGAACACTCAACTATGCCATCATATGATGGCAGGCTGGATAGACAATTTAGGAGGTATCAGAAGATACTGGATGATTTCTTTCTTTGGAGACAGTAGAGCTAAAAAGGATAGCCCAGATTTGAGGTAAAAAAGAATAACAGAGGAAATGGCAAATACAGGAACAGGCAGTAAGGTAGAAAGAAAACCAGAAACGTAGTTTCATATAAGCTAAAAAATTAAAACATAAAAAAATAAGGAACCAGGCAATTATTGAATGCTGCTGAAGGTTTAGTAAGAAGTAGATAGAAAAGTGATAACTGGATTAGAAACATGCAGGACACTGGGGACTAGGAAGTACTGGTCAGTAGATACTTAAACGTTTTTTTAAATTCTATTATAGGATTCTACCATTACAAAGTGTGGTAAGCAGACTACTGCCCTCGCAAAGATGTCCACATCCCAAACCTCAGAGAACCTGTGAATATCATACCCTGTATGGTAAACAAAACTTTGCAGATGTGATTAAATTGAGGATCTTGAACTGGATTAGCCTGGATTATCCAGGTGAATCCAATGGAAATCACAAACCTCCTTATAAATGAAAGAGGGTAGCAGGAAAGTAAGAGTCAACATCAGAGACTGGAAGATGGACACTGCTGGATTTAAAGACAAAGGAAGGAACCATGAGCCAGGAAATGCAGCTGGCTAGAAAAAGGAAGGAAACAAATTGTTCTCTCAAGCCTCCAGAAGAAATACAGCTGCTGACACCTTGATTTTAGCCCAGCAAGACTTATTTTGGACTTTCTGAGTTGTAAGATAATAAATTTGTGTTGAATCACAAATGTATGGTAATTTGTTATAGCAGCAACAGAAAACTAATAAACAAAGGATTGTATGCATACAGGGTCTTTAAACTTTCATGAAATGTAGGTGAAGAAATTTCCTTAGTTCATAAATACAAAGCAACTTCATGATCCCAATCCAGTGTATATAAAACTCAACTTAATTTAGGGTAAGTCAGATGCTTGACTAGAGGGTGAGCAACATTTGGTACCTTGACAACACCGCTACGGAGGATCAGGCAGGAGTGAGGCTCCAACTCAAAAAAAAAAAATACTACCACCCTATGAGAGCCTGTGTGCCATCAGCTGGCTCCCCTGTAACATACTTCTCTTGACCCACAAAGGCTGTCACAGCCTATAGTGCTTTCTTTTGGTTATCACAAACCCCCCAAAATTAACCTTATCTTTTGATTGGTTCTTATCTCTTTTAAATAAAGTTATTAAGGATCATTCCCAGGATCAAATGAGAGAGAAAAAGCAAGTTGGTAGAGATGTTACTCATTGGTCTGAAGTACTTCCAAATTACAAGTTTAAAAAAATAAACAGGTTACAAGTCTCAACACTCAGCTGATCCAATTTTTTAGAAATTTGGTAAAAGGACTTTTTGAATGCCACCTACAAGTAAAGGATAGGGGAAAATAAAATTCCATACCTTTTAAAACATTACAGGTCTATTATCCCATTTTTATAAAAGCATTTCTACATATCTGTATTTTAATAGATCTTTGGGGGATGGTAGGAAGTTAGGTGATTTTTCTGCTATCTTACTGAAAATGCTAATTGCTTTTTTTCTTATAATTAGCATGCATCACTTAAATAAGTCATTTAAAAAGGCAAATCAAGCATTTCTACCCAATTTGGGAGAAGGGGAAGTAAATGCAACTCTAGTAAAAAACAAGAAAAGTTAAAAAATTCAGTACAAGTAACTAAATTTCAAAATTAAAGAAGAATGTATACCATGGATTATTTAATCAAGTTGTCTTTTGTTATGGTTATGATATAGAAAAACTTTCTGGCTATTTCCATTTATAAAACCCAAATCCATCAGTTTTTGCCCCCCGCCCACCTCCCACCAAAAAACAAACATTGTTTTGTTTTAGAGGCATTTTATTTAGACAACTAAAAACAATTAGATGTTCAGAAGCAGTATACAATGAAAGAGAAATCAACCTGTTACTTTATCATGTATTCTCTCTTTTTTACAGCTAAAGCAAAAAAGAGAAGGCATTTTGCTTTAAGGGAAAAGTCAGAAAAATAAGTCAATATATTTTTCTTCTCCATAATAACATAAACAGCTACAAGAAATCTAACTGTAATAAGAGAAATTGGATGTTGGCTTGTACGTATTCATTAAAAAGACAACAGGCCATCGTACTACAAGAACATAACTCCACCTGCTTACATCTGATGCTCTTGCATTTTCACTTACAGGTAACAGTAACACCAAGTTAGTTGTTCCAGCACTGGAGCTAAGTCATATTCCCCATTATTTACTGCCGTGTTTGCCTTAAGCAGAGAGTAACTCTGGAGTAACTCTGGAAGGCTTTTCTCTGCTTGCTTGTTTTAGTCCATAAGTTGTATTACTATCTGTGGCACATACTTGATGCTCAGGCTTTAACTTCAGGAGTTGAAGAATAGATGGAATCTGAATTCTCTGAAGCAATTTCTTCTACAAGTAATAAAACAAAGTCATCACAGTAGTCATTTTAATAAAGGAAAAAAGCAAACCCACATTTCTGTATAATTAAGGAATACAATTCTTTTTAAAGCATATTATGGTGAGGGAAAGAAAAGGGCAATGCTGCACACGCCACTAATGACTAGACTCATGCCACTGTAAAAGCAATGAAGAAAAGGTTCATGTACTTTATCCACGAAACTCTTTTACAACATAATAACTTCCAAGAGTCCCCTTTCTGGGTTAAATTGTCAGTGACTCCATCTAGTCAATAAACCTTGAATTAAAGTCATGTCTTTCAAAGATCTGGCCCTCTGCTTTAGGAGATTCAAATCCTACGATTTAATGCTATTCAAATAAAAACATTAAGTTTTAGCAAGGAGGTGGCTAACAATTAAACATTTAAGGAAAACTCTAATTGGATAAGTGGTAAACCCTTTCCCAATCTCCCAAAAAAGCATCATATCCAGCTTCTTATACCAGCAATGTGAAATTTCCTTATTACACCCCCTTCAGCAACCTTAACAATTCCACCACTAACGACTCTCAACTCTACCTTTTTCTGTTCTCATTACCATCCCTTATTCAAAATCACATGATCACTCATCCAGACTACCATTCCCCCAATTTGGTCTATGTTCACTCTTCCTAGTCCTATTCTTTGTGCATACCACACAGCCAAGGCAATCTTTAAAAACTTAAATCAAATGTATTATTATTACTCTGTTTAAAAATCAAACATTTCTGACGGCTTTTAGTATAAAACTTTCCAAGTCCTAATACAGCAAATGAGGCCCTCAAATTATCAAGCATCTCTATTTTCCCTCTGTCCTTGGCTCTTTAACCCAAAGGCATAGTGAAGTTCTTTTAGTCCCTTATATGCTGCATTTCTTTTTGCTTCTGAGTCTTAGTTAATATGTTTTTTTTTCCCTGCTGTGAACTCTTCCATCTTGCCCTACCAATAGCCGCCCCCCTCCCCCGCTTCCTTATAATCTCACCTAACTCACTCTTGCTCATCCTTAGGACCCACTTCTCCAGAAAGCTTTCCCCAAATTCCTCTTAAAATTGCAATGATTTGTTTTAGCATGTCTCCTAAGTTAGACTCTAAGCTCAGGAAGAGTAACCATGTCAGTTATGTCCATACTATATCTCAGTGCCTATTACTATGCAGAAGGGTATTTAAATATTTAGCCTAAAAATATATATATATTTATAGGCAAAATATATATGCATATATACTTTACAAAAGTCAATTCATCAGTATTTACCTAGCTCTTCTTCTGTTGTCTCTGGGAAGCCAATCTTTGGTTTTGCCAGTTCACCACTATCTTCTTCTACAAAAAGAAAAGCGATGATGATTGATTATGTGAATTTCACTATCACAAGTAATTTCTAGTATTCAATAAGCAAGAAGATTAAGATAAGACTATTCCCATCAATGAGCTACAAAACATAATAGGAACAACAAACTCCTTTTACAATAATTTTGATTCTAAAATTATACGTCTTTGCTCAAAATTACTTTTAGGTTCAGACTACAACTACTTTCGGATCAGTAACTAGGTATTTATTAAAAACCTACCTACCTTAATTGTAAGGAAACACTATTCAGAGATTAAGTACATTTACTTGTAAATTCTTTATAGTGCCCTCTAGTGAATTTTGAATTAGGTCCATTCTATTCACAAAATATGCTAGCACAAAAAATTTAGGAACATTATAGATTGTACAACAAAAAAACTTAAAAGAACACAGTGGAGCATTTGTAACCATGGGCTTCTCTTTGCTTAAGCCATAATATATTTTATATTCTGTAGAAGTCAGAAACCTTGAAATAAAATGACGAAAAATGACACAAAATCATGCCTTAAAATTTGATAACTCTGAATAAAAATTCTTACCCGGAAGCACACATTTCCAAAGGCCATATGTTTTTCCTACCACAGTCTGCCATAGTCTCAATGTTCCATCTTCAGAACCACTGGCATAGAGTTCTCCATCAGGACTAAATCTCACACAGTGAATAGGACCAAAGTGTCCTTTGTAGGATTCTGAAAAAGAGGAGGGCTATTAGCTATTTTAATACTTATCTATTAAGCTAAGTATTGCTATACTAAAGCAAATACTGCCAATATTATTGGGGAGATGAAAAATTCATAAAGGTAAATACAAAACACTATACCTAATTAAAAATAAATTCTCATCACAAAGTGTTACATCATGCCTACCATTTCTTTGTAAGATTACTTCTTTCCAAATCTAGCACACATTATAGTATCAGATTGTCTAATAAAGAGAATGAGGCTTCGTGTCCCATTAAAGATGGAGAAAGAGGGGTAAGTGAAAATCCATAAATTCTACAGAAGGTAAACCTAAAGTCTATCAGTTCAATCTCAATTTCCATATCCTAAACTCACTTACCAAGGAACCAATTCTTATTATGACTACAGAGAGCCACCAGATGGAGCTCTTTTACACATTTTGCCTCTTAATTTCCTACCAGGCTATCTAGAGTCCACTCACTATTCTGTCACAAAGAAAGATGAGATAAAGGATCAATACTGACCCCTAAGGATTTTAATCTATGGAACCCAATGAGAAAACGTACAGATTATGAATGTTATTTTGTTCAAGTAGTACCCTTAGTTATGAACCTTTCTCGTTTACTTTTCAATGCCTCATAACCTTCTTAGTGCTCAAAGATCTTTACTAAAGCAATGTTTCTGTTCTGTTCCCCCATCTCTGCCCAACCAGAGAACAAAAAAGCTGTAGGAGTAGAAAAAACATGAGTTTTTAGAATGCGAATGCCTGGGCTGGTCTGGTATTCACTAACTGTGACATCAGATCTCAGGCAAATAATTCAGTTCTCTCATCTTGAAAAAGAATAAAACATGTTACCAAAACATTCTAAAGCTTTGAGAAGTTTTAGACAGATGGAAAATAAAAACAATGAAAAATAATCTTATTCAAAGGTCACTTATATTCAAGCAATAAAGGGTGAACTATAAGTCTTTTTTTTTTTTTTTTTTGAGTTGGAGTCCCACTCTGTCGCCCACACTGGAGTGCAGTGGCCGCTCCCGGTCACCGCAGCCTTGACCTGCTGGGCTCCGGCAATCCTTCCGCCTCAGCCTTCCGAGTAGCCGGAGTTACAGGCATGCGCTACCACGCCCGGCTGATTTTTTGATTTATTATAGAGATGAAGTCTCACCTGCCCAGGCGGGTCTCGAACCCGCGGGCTCAGGCAATCTACTCACCTCAGCCTCCCAAAGGCACAGGATTACAGGCTAAGCCACCGAGCCCGGCTAACTATAAGTGATTAAAATAGATTCAATGTAGTCCATTCACCAAGGTTCCATTTGTGTGACCCAAACCCATCAATTTTTCCCAAGAAATAAAACATTAAAATTGTTTTTTATTCATTGAGCCTAATTCTAGCAAACTCATTTCTTTGGGTAGAAAAGTGGGATAGCTAGAAACAGACAACAACAAGAAGTGGCAGTTTATAGGCAAAAAAAAAAAAAAAATATATATATATATATATATACACACACACATACACACACACACACACACATAAAATAAATAGGCCATTGCTTTATTAAACTCTGGTGTTTCCAGGTGGTTCTTTGAGTTTTGCCCCCCGCTTCCTACCTTGGGGAAGTAAATCTCTCTCTAATTTCTTTCTAAATAAACTTTGCTTGAAAACTTCAAACAAATAAAAAACTAAGTATACTTTTGAACTAAAGCAAAAATTATTTGGGAAGACTACATGTAACCATGTGAAATAACTGGCACACCAGCTAAATATAAAGTTAGGATGTACATTAACTTCAAATTAATCCTACATGCCTTTTCCATACTAAGGGCTATTATCATAAAATGAAAGCAAAATTCTAACACTAAATAAATAAATAAAATCAGACAAAAATAATTCTCCAATTCAGATTTCTAAAGATATCCTTATAATATGCTATAATGGTTCTTCCCACACACACTAGTCTCTAGAGTTTCCAGGGTTAGCAAAGTTGGCAAAAAGAAAGAGGGCTAGGTAGATGGGGAACCATAGTTTAGAAAGAACAAATCTCCTTGCATCTGTTTTATATATGACTTTGACATAAGATTGCCACCCCTCACCGTCAATAAACCTAAAAATAACTGCATCCATAGTACAGAACATCAGCATAATGATGAGCTCCAGTTAAAAGGAAAAGGTAAACGGAGTTGAGCACATTTTGTTTATAGGTTTATAAAAAATGCCTAACCAAAAAGGATAAAATCATCCTTTACTTTTTCATTTTAAGCACTAAGCTTTCATTAGCTAAAAAATTTGTTTTCAACATGTTATATATGTAAATGAGGTGTTAGTTAACATTTGATAAAGGTAACTACATCATTGAGCAAGAGGAAAAAGAAAACAACTCACCTAATTCTTCTCCACTATTATAATCATACTTATAAAGTTTAAAATCTTCACCACCTGCAACAAGAAATTCTTTCTCAGGATGAAGAGATGCAGAATTTATGGTTGCAGGAGCTTCAAAGGATTTAATTGGATCCAAACTGAAAAAAAATTAAGTAATACTTACACATTTTGAATGTTGTACAAATATAAGGAAATAAGTTACATTTAAACTGTTTCTAAATTCTGAAACCCAGGAACAACTAAATATCCATTTAGTCAGACATAAATAGTGATGTAGAAAACAAACACTATAATGTTAGCAAAAAAAAGTTCAAATGGATACTATGCTCATGTGGTGCTTATCTCAGGCATACCAAGACATTTTGATAGAGAAATATCCACATTTTATACAGTGGAGCTTTTCTAGAAATGAGAGTGCTGACTAATTAAAACAGTATGGATAATATTGGACTTTTTGTTTTCAATAAATTTCATCTGTATTCTTTGATTTTTCTAAAAGCAAACAATATCTTTGTAAACAGAAAGTTTTTACAGTAGGTAATTAATTACTTTAATATAAAGGATTACTTGCATGTTATTCTCCACTACTGAGGGTTCAAGCTCAAGATAAATGTGGAATGTCACACAATAGGAAACTGCTAAAAAAAACAGCCCAGTTTTTACTCTCAGGCAGTAAAATAATAACTAAATTTGAGGTTGTAATTCTATAATTAAAATCAATACCTAACAATAAAGCTTCATCTGAAAATCAGTTAGTTGAGATACCAGCTTTTTCAGTTTAACTCTAAAAATCATGAAAGGCCTCCAATACAAAACATTATAGTACTCTAGCTCTTAAATGCTGCTACTTGTCCTCTCCCTGTCATCATATACTATAAAGCATGTAGTCAAAGTTAGTCATAACCTATGTAGAATCACTGCATAGCAATTTGCTGGCTCAAACGTCAGAATATTCAACAGGTCAGTAAACCTCTACCACCAAAATGGTATTTGAAGCAACAGCCTATAGTAAGGCTACATGTTGCCTAATCCAGGAGTGAGCATTAACATAAATGTAGGTGTTGTTTTTTTTTGAGACAGGGTCTCTCTGTCCACCAGGCTGGAGTACAGTGGCATGATCACAGTTCACCACAGACTTGAACTCCTTCGCTCGACTGATTCTCCTACCTCAGTCCCTGAGTACCTGGGACTACAGGCACACACCACCACATCCAGTCAAAATAAATAAATAAAAATTGTATTTGTTATGGTTTTAGCAATTAAAGAAAAAACATCAATACCATATAAGCACATATATGACATAGAAAAAAAGTCTAGCAGAAAATACAACTACCATTAATATTCTGTTATCTATTGTTATAATACTGTGAGCACTTTTTTCAATTATGTTACATTTTTCAATTTTCTACGAGAGCATTTACTATATTTACAGTCACAAAACCTAAGTCTGTCTAAAATAATCATTACGTTGGCTGGCTGGGCTTGTTGGCTCAGCCTGTAATCCCAGCACTTTGGGAGGCCGAGGTGAGTGGACTGCCTGAGCCCACAGGTTCGAGACCAGCCCCAGCCCGACCAACTGGGCAAGACCTCATCTCTACAATAAAAATAAAAAATTATCCAGGCATGGTAGCGCACACCTATAGTTCTGGCTACTTGGAAGGTTGAGGTAGAAGGATCGCTGGAGCCCAGCAGGTGGACGCTGGGTGGCTGTGAGTGTGCCACTGCACTCCAGCCTGGGCAACAGAGTAAGCATCCAACTCAAAAAAAAAAAAAAATCATTAGGTTATAAAACTTGAGAACAGAAGTAAAATCTGATTTCTCTAAAATTTTAAAGTGAAGATTAATAGAAGAATCAAGATCACAGTGATTTTATATAGCAAAGAACAACATCCAATCCTGCTGTGGTTTTTATCTTTAAAAGAGTAAGAAGAACTTTTCATATGCCTTCCAATGTTTAAGTACCCTAATTGTCTTATGTTACCCAAAAGAAAATGATGGTCTTAGACATACCTTACTGCACTATGAAAAGCGATAGATCGTCCATAAGTTATAACCAAAATCTCTCCCTCAGGAATATATTCCATACTACTAACAGACATATTAAAATTTAGGGATTTCACTTCTGTCATAGTAGCATGATCCCAAAGACTGCAAAAACAAAGAGGAAAATAAGGTGATATATACTCAGTTAAAAAAAAAAGCTTAAATTATAATTACATCTATACATTAACCAATGAAAGAATAATCACAATTGTAGAAAAACAACAATCATTCCAAGCCACAAATTACAGATGACAGAGAATCTGGGTTTCTATGCACAATATCAAATTATATGGAATAGCTTTCAGGCAAAATCAACTTTAATATACATACACACTTTCCAAACAACTTGGCTAAAACTATGTTATTAAGACATGTAAGTTCTAATCTAGTCACTTTCGTTGCTTTAAATAGTGGTCTTATGCTCTGTTTTTATGAATCTGATGATAGTGATTTAACTTTCCACAGAAAAATACATCAGGTGTTAGTTAGCACGTAAAGTTTTGCACACAATTTGAGGGGCTTCACGGATACCCCTTTAGTAAACCTGCCCAAAGACCTAGATTAAGAATACCTGCTTTATAGGTATCAGTAGTTTTAATTTATTTCTGAATTCTGCTGTCAGTATACACAGGTTGAGTACCCCATATCCAAAATACTTGGGAACAAAAGTTTTGACCATTATGTCATCACTCAAAAAGTTTTAGATTTTGGAGTTACTTCAAATTTTGGATTTTTAGATTAGGGATGCTCAACCTAGAAAAGTAAATAAGGTAGCTTCAGATAAATGTGACTTGTATGCAACTTCAATTTCAATGTTCAGACAACTTTTCCCACATAATAGTTATTAAAAATATTTAATGTAAGCACTAAGATAAAAAACCATTTTTTCCAAACTTTAAATTAAAGAAAAATTACTTACCGAACAGTTTTATCATCAGCAGAAAGAATCTGTTTATCCTCACTGCACCATAGAGCCTTTTTAATACCAGAGGTATGACCACTAATTTCTTTAGGTTCTTAAGTTGAAACAATTTTAAATAAATGTTAATATTTGATTTTTTTAAACTGAGCAATATTAGAATAATTTAAATATGTAAAAGAAAAAAAAAATCTTAAATTAGACCACAACTTTTCAAAGCCCAGCACAATTCAACCATGACATTTATATAGCATAGTTTTTCCATTGGAACAAAAATGCACCTGCATGTCAAGGATCCAAGAATCATGATACTTGCTATAGGTAACTCAGTGAATGCATCACTCATTCCCTCCAAGCTAATTTTCTGCCCTACTAATACTATTCAAAAACATTATCGTACCGCAATGAAATAAAAGAATAACTAATGTGGCATACTTGATTAATAATAAGAACATGAACCCAAGAATAAGTCAACCTGAACTAAATCTAGTAATGTCGCCAACTCTGGGACCTTCATCTAAGCCACTGATGGTAACTAATGTAAAAAAAAGAAGGAAATAAAGCTAGAAGGAAAAAAGAGAAACAAAACACTTAAGAAAAACCTATTTCTATAGGAGATTATCCTTTCAAAGGATTTCAAAAAATCCTAATTGCTATCTCTGGGACGGAGGAAATGCCATTCAACATTAGTTTGACCTTTGGGCATGTTACTTTTTGAAAACGGCCTTTAAAACTACACTTCCTCATCTGTGAAATGGGATAATAACAATTACAAATGAGAATATACATACATCTACAGTGCTTAAACATGGCATCTGACATACAGTAAAACCTCAATAAACTGCTATCATTTCTGCTACCAGTATAGTCCACTATACTGGACTATAGAGCAATTTTTAAAAAACAGCTTTGGGAAAAGTTAAAGGTAAAAACCAACCCAAGTCATGAACTACCCTGCTTTGTTAAATGGGTTCACTGAGGAAATGAGGTCAGAGTACTTTCTATATTTTAGCCTAAACTTAATGTAAAATTAAAAGTCAGTTAATGCAGTTTGTTTTCTAACCTTAGAAACACTTTCAGAAACAGAAGGTTATCTCGAGAATAACTGCTTACTTTCTGATGTAGTTCTAGTTCTCTTACAAATCTTTTAAACTTTATCGATTTATAAACAGATAATAAATATTCACAACACAAAACTTAAAAGATACCAACTAAATATATAAAAAATAAAACAAGAGCCGGGCTCGGTGGCTCAGCCTGTAATCCCGCGCCTTTGGGAGGCTGAGGTGAGTGGATTGCCTGAGCCCGCGGGTTCGAGACCCGCCTGGGCAGCGAGACCTCATCTCTACAATAAATCAGAAATCAGCTGGGTGTGGTAGCGCACGCCTGTAGTTCCAGCTACTCGGAAAGCTGAGGCGGAAGGATTGCCGGAGCCCAGTGGGTCGAGGCTGCGGTGGCCGGGAGCGGCCACTGCACTCCAGTATGGGTGACGGAGTGAAACTCCAACTCAAAAAAAAATAAAAAATAAAAATAAAACAAAATTCTGTTTCTCATATCTTGGTAGCTTTTAAGTTATATAATCTATGGATAGGAGAATCATTAGAATATTATAAAATAAGCCGGGCTCAGAGGCTCAGCCTGTAATCCCGTGCTTTGGGAGGCTGAGGTGAGTGGATTGCCTGAGCCCGCGGGTTCGAGACCCGCCTGGGCAACTTGGCGAGACCTCATCTCTACAATAAATCAGAAAAATTAGCCGGGTGTGGTAGCACGCACTTGTAGTTCCAGCTACTTGGAAGGCTGAGGCGGAAGGATTGCCGGAGCCCAGCAGGTCAAGGCTGCAGTGGCCAGGAGCAGCCACTGCACTCCAGTCTGGGTGACAGTGAGAATCCAACTCAAAAAAAAGAATATCATAAAATAAAGGTGAGTATATGGACTCGGGGAAAGAAGATGCCTACACTTTCTGCACAATAAGAAAATTCACAAAAAAATTTTACTACCAAAATTTTTAAAATGTATGCACAACAAATCCCCCAACATATAAACAAGTTCCATTCCAAGAGAGTGTTTGTAAGTCCAACTTTCATTCATAAGTCCAAAGTTAGACTAGATACCCAATTAACACAATCAGTCATATAGTACTGTACTACAAAAGAAACCACTGTGAAAATATTTGCAACTATTAACAATGTTCAGCATAATACTGCATTTAATATTTCAAATTTGTAAATAGCCAAGTTGGGTCATAATGGGAAACTGGTTAATTCACTTAAGATATATCCACAGGATGGAGAACCATTAAGTAATTACAAACAGTTCATAGAATACTTAGTGACATGAAAATACTGTCATTGCTGATTTTAAAAATTATTTTGCATAGTTAATACATTCACAAGGCTCAAAAAACTAAACAATGTATGCATTTAACTGACAATTCTCACCATCATCACCTTCCACTGATAACCACTCTTTGGGCTGGGCTCAGTGGCTCACGCTTTGAATCCCAGCACTTTGGGAGGCAGAGGCGAGAGGACTGCCTGAGCCCAGGGGTTCGAGACTGGCCTGGGCAACTTGGTGAGACCTCATCTCTACAACACATCAAAAAAATTAGCTGGGCATGGTGGCACATGCCTATGGTTCCAGCTACTTGGAAGGCTGAGGCAGGAGGATTGCCTAAGTCCAGCAGGTGGAGGCTGCGGTGGCCGTGGCTGTGCCACTGTACTCCAGCCTGGGTGACAGAGTGAGACTCTAACTCAAAAAACAAAAAATAAATAAAAAATTACTCTTTCATAACAAAAGGTAGAAACACTGTTCTGCATCTTTTCAGCATCATGATAAAAACGTACCATAATTTGTAAGAAGGCTATACAAGGGCAATGTAGTAAATAAACTGATGTTCAAAAGAATATTTGTGTAGAATAAAAGAGGGCTGGAAAGATATGAATCCAAACCAAATGGATAATGTTTTAATTTTCTTCTTTGTGACTATCTTTACTTTCCAAATTTGCATATTGAACATGAAATCCTTTAATCAGTTAAAGCCACTTAAAAAATTAAAAAAAAATAAAATCACAAACTGATACATAAATTATACTCACCAGCTTCAGGTTTGTTCAAGTCATATATGCGTAACAGTTTATCCTGTCCCCCGGTTAACAAATAATTACTATCCTGAAAACATAAACAAATAAAATGTTAATAGATTCACCATTTTTTTTTTTTTTTTTTGAGTTGGAGTCTCACTCTGTCGCCCAGACTGGAGTGCAGTGGCCGCTCCTGGCCACTGCAGCCTCAAGCTGCTGGGCTCCGGCAATCCTTCCGCCTCAGCCTTCCAAGTAGCTGGAACTACAGGCGCACGCTACCACGCCCGGCTAATTTCTTTATTTATTGTAGAGATGAGGTCTCATCGTTGCCCAGGCGGGTCTCGAACTCGCGGGCTCAGGCAATCCACTCACCTCAGCCTCCCAAAGTGCGGGATTACAGGCTGAGCCACTGAGTCCGCCTGAGATTCACCATTTTAATAGTTATTTCTCTTTGAAACTTTCTCAACATCAAATAAAATCCAAATATAACTCTCACAGATAGCACAAAGAAATGCAATACATAACCAATTACTTTTGAGACAATACTGTGGAACATTTGCCTTTCTCATAACTGCCAAGTCCTTTAAGCTTGCCAGTTCAAAAGCACTATACTACACTATCTAAACATGAATTCTCAACCTTCTATTATGATCCCCTTTCTCTCTCTTGAAAAGCTCTTTTCTGGTTATCCAAAATTTATCTTTTCCCGAAACTAGCTGGGAAACTTATTAGAACTTTATAGATGTTGCTATTGTTGGAGGACTGATTTAAGAGTTCCAGGCCATCTCAAAAGTTTCAAACGATTAACCACAAAAACCCAAATTTGTATAGTTTAATGTACAATCAAATCAAATACGAGCCAAGAAACATCAAATATTTCACAAAAAAAGGTATAAACCAAATACATAAACCAATTAAACTTAAAAAGTTATCATACCGTATAACAGCAACTTAACTCCCTAAAATAAATTCCATTTTCTTATACCTGTGTGAAATCCACAGTCTTGACGATGTGTTTATGAGCCAGGGTCATCAATTCATCTCCTGAGACAGCATCCCACACTTTGCTAAAAGTAAAACAATAAAATTAAAAGGATAAATATTACTCAATAACAATATCTTAAAAGAATAATGATGATAATTTTGATGATTACCAAACAAATTAGATATGTAAAATGTCACATAAATGTATTATAAATCTCCTTTATCCCTAATACCCCCCTCATAGCCCTCATTTAATAAAATATTTAAATAAATCTAAGGGAAAATAAATTTCTCTGTAAAAACTTTATAACCAGTCTAAATATCTTCGGCACTAGAAAAGATCTGAACAATTTAATAAGATTTGTAAACCAGCCCATCCTACTTTTACTTTAACCTATAGCCATAATATCCTTTCAGAAAGCCTATTATACACTTTAACCAATTTTTAGTTTCATCATGTCAATTTCTTCTCTATTCTCTACTCACATGCACATGCGAAAAAATGAAAACCAAGAAACCCTTAAAATTTTACAGACGAATAAAAAATCTAAATATTGGTTATGTAACATTTTATTTTATTTTATTTTTATTTTTGAGTTGTAGTCTCACACTTTGCAGCCCAGACTGTAGTGCAGTGGCTGCTCCCGACCACCGCAGCCTCGACCTGCTAGGCTCCGGCAATCCTTCTGCCTCAGCCTTCCAAGTTGCTGGAAGTACAGGCGTGCACTACCACATCCGGCTAATTTTTTGATTTATTGTAGAGATGAGGTCTTGCCAAGTTGCCCATGCAGGTCTCGAACCCGCGCGCTCAGGCAATCTACTCACCTCAGTCTCCCAAGGCGCGGGATTACAGTATATAATATTTTAAATAGTGAAGAGAAAATTTTCTCCCCATCTTTTCCTCAAAGTTGACTCAGATTTTCAAATCCCAGTCCAATTAACTTTTCCCAAAGTTGTAGCCTTTGATTATATAATGCTAACATCGAGGATTTAAATCTCTAAATTGCATTTGCTTGCCCTAACCCACCCCATGCCAAAATATGTCAGTGGTTGTATGTATGTGTATGTGTATATTTAAGGGAGGTAACGGTTGAACAGTACTATACAAAAGTACTCAGGAACGGGCCCCCAAATAAAAAAATCTTAAAGAAAGAAAAAACCTGACTATAGTCAGAAAAGGTCAGTGAAAATAAACAAGAAAACTTCACATAAAGGGAAAAGAACTGCTAACGGTGAAGTAGCTATGCTCTACATAGTTTCCCATTTTAATGTTACTGACATTTATTTTTAGGAACACAACGGCCAATAAAATGGTAGAGAAAAAAAAAGCAGAGAAAAGCAAGGGGTATCTTTTCTTCTGCTTACTCAGTAGATACATAATAAATAATCAAGACACATTATTCTAGACTTAGTGCTAGGGCACAAATGGGAGAAAAAACATCCCACAGGAGGTTCCTGCCTTAGTAAAGTTTTACCTTTAGCTGAGAAGAAAAACATATAAAATAAATTTAAGAAATATACTTAAAAGACAAACTATAAATACTCAGAAAAAGCCCACTACTAATTAAGCCAGTAAAGTCTAGAAAACCTAGGGCAGTGTAACGAGTGGTCTTAAAGATCAAGTAGAACTACAACAGGGAAAAGAAGGGAAGGTTATTCTAGACAAGCATTAATAGCATGTATACTGGTTAATAAATATGAAAGACTAACAGGAATACTGATGATGCAATATCAAACCTTACATTTATATATGTGGCCCATACAAGCAGCTGAACAAATATGTTCTGAGAAACAGTGTGAACTATGATTACTACTACTAAACTCCCAAGTATTCATTTTTCTTTGCACAGGAAATCTGCTCCAGGCTCTCCATTCCAGTTCAATCTCTGCCCCAAACCTACTTTCCAAACCTCATTTTGTATTTCTCTGAAACTAGCCACACCAGACTATAAACCATTCCTCAAATAATCCACGTATTTTCTTCCAGATTCCTCTTGTTCACATTGTTCTCTTAGGTCTATATTTCACATTCTCAGCTATTAAAGTTCTACTCATCCTCAGGGCTCATTTGAAATGCTATCTTTTCATTAAGACGTCTATTGATCCTCACCTCCAATAATTAACCATTTCTCTCTGTTCTTTCACAAACTCAGCTTATAGTGATTGCTGTGCTTAATTCTCATTTGTTTTTTATTTGTCTACATATATTTTTAATCACAGAGAAATTCTTACAATGGCTGTGATAAGAGTTAATAAAGATTAGAATGACAGAGGGCAACAAAAATGAAAATGCCAAATGTACCTAAAATTACTATCCTAGTTATTAATAACCTTCAAGAGAACCCTGGGCAATGTCCTTTGAAATGCTAGTTTTAAGTATCGTAAATAATCTTAAAAAAACTCATTAAAATCTTTTTTCTTTTTGAGAGATAGAGAGGCAGTATCTTGTGATATTGGTCAGTTTGAATGTGAACTCCTAGGTTCAACTGACCCCCCTCCACCTCAGTCTTCCAAGTAGCTTTAAAACATACACTTCTCTAAAACCTTAAGATTCTTTTTAGACAGTGTCAATTCACTAGTGAGGAGAGAGAAATTAAGTGACCAAAGTAGTAATAGTAACTAGAGAGCTAATGTATCTGTAATCGTTTGCCTCCTATTTAGAAACACTACTAAAATAGAGGCATGACATTTTCTGACAGAGCTCGTACTAACCTCTGGCATATTTCTGTTATTCATATTAAGAGTCCTAAAAAGGATTTAGAATCCTTAATAATCTAAAATAATCTAAATGTTTTCTAATGTATTATTCAATCTCCAGGCAAGAACTGACATAAATCACCTGGCTGCTGGGCTCAAATCAAGACAGTGAAGCACCATGAACAATATCTTTTCAGCAGCTAACTCTGCAACATTTATTTTCTGTACAACTCATGAAGCACTTGCCTTCTCCCTAAACTACTAATACCTCTAATATCTCCAGCTTTCTCGCATATAATAATCAATGCCACCTGATGCTTTTCATATCCTGAGGATGGACGTACAATAAGTCTCAAAAGAGGAGCAGCTAAACTTATTCAGAGCTTGCAAAACAATTAAGCAATTTCAGGATTAAAAAAGAAAAATTGCTTAACTACCTTAACATGTTGACCACCTCATCTAGAAGGAGGAGATAATACCATCTTTGATTTATGAAGATCCTAATTCAGAGAAAAGTTACACATCTCTAAAGGCTTTTACAAGAAAGAAAAACCACTCATGCACTTGGATTACCTATAAACTCCCAAAGTCAAGAGAGTGTACTTAAGCACTCTCTGGAGCAGAGAACAGGAATTTTCTCTACTTTGGCACTCTTCCCAAATGATTTTGATGGGAAGAAAGTGGAAGGGCAGAAAAGAGGATGGTGTGAAGTAATGCTACATTAGCTTTAATCTATCACTAGACTCAACTGCCCGAATTACTTTTAGGGGATAACATTCTTAACTGGTTCACAGACCTATTCTGCTAAATATAATTTCTCCACAAGAAACAGGAACAAAATCCTCCTCTAGATGACCATGCCATAAATGAGTTTTCCAAGAAACGTAATAACGAAGGGAAAAGAATGTTCCTAAAAAAGATTTACACCCACTCTGACTAATCAGGTAAGAAGGGAGAGCTATTTTTTAACTGAATCAAGTTCCAACACAGCAAGTCCCATTAAAAGAGGAGAATACACACATAAAACATATGCGCTCCCATATCCCACAGACAAAAACACAGAGGAAATGAGGATTATCCTTCTACTTCAGAAAATTTCAAGTTATTGATTTGACAGATGTAAGGTATTGAATAAACCAGAGACGTCCCAAAAATAAGACATGGCCCCTGACTTTAAGAAGTATTAAAAATTGGGCAACTTGGCGAGACCTCATCTCTACAATAAATCAAAAAAATTAGCCGGGCGTGGTAGCACATATCTGTAGTTCCAGCTACTTGGAAGGCTGAGGCGGAAGGATCGCCAGAGCCCAGCAGGTCGAGGCTGCGGTGGCTGGGAGCGGTCACTGCACTCCAGTCTGGGCGACAGAGTGAGACTCCAACTCAAAAAAAAAAAAAATCAAATATATGAAAGTGTTAAAAGTTTTAATACAGAGTATGGTATGATCACAAAAAAGGAAACGGGGACCTTCATTTTAATCTTCTAACATTCCACAATAAAGTCTTCCATGTCTGAGAATCACTTTTCCTTCCCATTTTCATCTTCCATAATTAACAATTCAAGAAGTGCTTTGTCACATTTAAGTTAGTTCCATACTGACATCAAATGTAACCCTTAACCTAAAAACTTGAAACCAAGTAATTTATTATTATCAGTATTACATACCATACCAATAGTGCAGAGCACCAAGCTTTTCAATGGTTATGCATAATAATATAATAGCAATCTACTCAGGGGAGACACAGAAAAAAAGTTCACACCGCCATTTAGAAGTTTCTTACTGCTCTCTCATCATCTCAAATTTAATCCCATGTAAGCATTAACACATCTGTCTGTATTTTGAACTTTTAAATTAATTTTAAAATTTACAAACAGAAAAATTCACTCTGTGATATAACAGGTGTCTCCCCAAGAAACAAGAGCATACATTCATGTATCCACCAATACAATCAATTCATTTTCATTTTTTCATATTAAACTTAGTATGTCTAACTTGCTTAAAATGATGGAGACAAACACATTTACAATTGCTCCTTAGTGTGAAATTCTACTTTAAAAAAAAAAATCAACAAGACCACTTTTGCTCTACAGCTGCTTAAGTTTTAAAAAAAGTCTATGTATGTACAATAGCTCTGGACATTACCTTCATTACTTTAAATACCAAACTTCTATCTGCTAGTCACAGATACCAGGGAGGAACTGGAGATGACAACATTCAGAAAATAGGATACATGACCAAAAGGAGAAAAAGAGGATAACTGCAAGAGAGTTTAACAACTAATTAAATACTAACATGCAAAAGTCAGAACAGGTAATTCTGGCTACAATAAGTTTAGTATAACTAGTACAGGGTTTATGCCATGCAGTGCCAGATGCTGATGCACTTAGGATGAAGCCAAACAACTGAAATGTATCCTTTAGGTTAGTGATTCTAAGGCTGAACAACAGAATCACCTAGATGAACATCAGGAAAGAAAAATACTGATGACGGGTACCTCAACCCCAAACCAATTAAATCAGAATTTCTAGGACACAAACATGTAAACATTTTAAAATTTCTCCAGGTTATTCTAACGTACACTAAAGGTCATGAACCACTAAAATAGCAAAGGGAAGATAGGAAGATCATTAGGTAGAAAAGTGACATGATGAAACATGTTTTCTAGGAAGACACTGGCAGCAATATGGAATATGAATAGGACAAGAAACTAGTGGTAGAGAGTTTTTTTAAAAAGACCCCAAACTAAGGCAGTGGCAGATACAAGGAGAAACACTAGTCAGAAGACATTCCGCTGGCAGAATCAGGATGGTGATAATCTAGACGTAAGGGAAAAATAAAGAATTATTCAGATTTCAACCTTTAAAAACTTAGAAAGTAAAGAATAGCTAAGTTTGGGACACAATGAGATTTAATTACGCCTAAAGCAGTTAACAGCCGAGATTGAAATAAGAACCTGGGGCCATCAAGATATGATATCACTAAGGAGTACTTACAGAGCAGTATTTATAAAGGAGATTACTAGTATTCGTTATCTGTAGTTGCTTGTTAATAAAGCAGATTCCTGGGTTGCAATCAAGACATAAAGAGTAAGTATTTCAAGCATCTGAAAATTTTGAAGACGAAGAATAACAAAGAACCAGGATGGAATCTTGGTGAGATCAAATATCATGTGTTCTATATGGCAGCCACTGAATCAGAATTTTACGAATATCTGAGATGGATGATTTTGTTACTTCAGGACACAATCCACAGAGAATACCAAAGTTTGCCATATTGATTACACTTACGCTGTGAAATCTGCAGCTGCTGTAGCTGCTTTGGTGGCATCGTTATTCAATGTGGCACCCCAAACAGCACCTTTATGACCCAAAAATGTTCCAATCCAGTCTCCTGTATCTCCCTGGCGTAGCATAGGTTTACCATCTAGAAAACATTTTTAAAAACATGTGATTTAGAAGTTCAGATTACTTAAAATTTAAGATTCAAATATAAAGTTCAACTGGAAAATTTTTCTAGTTGTCTAAATACTACAATTCACTAGGGCATTAAGGAATGTTCAAAAATAAATTAACTGGGAGAGCTGAACCGGTCATTCTCTCTGAAAAGCATTTGGGATTGTGGAGGAATACTGATCTGCGTCAAACAATCTACATTTGAGTCTTATTTTGGACAAAATTCCTAACTTAAATTTCAGCTTCTCGTTTGAAAAATGGGACTAATACCAGAAAGGAATATCCCGTGAGCTAAGAGCGAACGTCTTAGCTCGCCCTAGCCTAATTGCTCTTTTCCCCAAATCCTTGAAAGGCATTTGGTGTTTGCTGTGCGGAGCGTCGAGTCAAGTGCCGCGCAGCTTCTCCAGGAACAGCAATAAAAATAAAACGAGGAGAGGGCTCACTTGAGGGTCCAGAGGCGTCAAGAGGCCTCTCCGCTCCAGCTGCGGATACCCGAACGCTACTCCTTTCCCCGCCAGAGCAGCGTTGGCCCTCACCGCCAAGGTTAAGATCCCCGCCAACCCTTCGGCCCCGGGGAGTGCGGGCCCCGGTCCCTCTCGGCCCAGTCTTAGCCGTGGGGGGCCCGGATCAGAGGCCTTGCTCACCTTTGCAAGCGCTGATTAAGAAATACCCATAAGGCGTGATGCCGCTGAAGGCCAAGTCAACCACGGGCCGCGTGTGGCCAGAGCAGGTGAGCGGCGTCTGCCTCATTGCCATGGTGGCGGTGAACCCAGAGATCCGGCTGGTGAGCGGAGGGTCGTCGTCGTCGTCTGTTCTTTCCTCAGCTGCGGCGCCTCAGGCTCCACAAGGCCCCCGCCCTGATACTGGGGCTGGGCCGGGAAACAGGAAAAGAAGGCCAATCCGGTGGCACCGAGGTCAGAAGGGGGTTAGGGAGGGGTCAGGGAGTCTGCGACGGGCGAGCGACAAGTCGCCGAGGGAGGGAAAGGGAGGGAGGGAGGAAAGTAGGGGAGGGGGAGAACCGGAGAACCGGCCCAGCCACGATTCGCACCGTCCACACCGGTATCGGCAGGAAGTGACGGAGGCAAGAGACGCAGAGCGTCCGCCGGAAGTGACGACTGGCGGAGGGGCGGGTTCGCCCGTAAGAAGAGGCTTTAATGATGGGGCGAGGACGCGAGCGCGCAGGCGCGAGTTCCGCGCTCGTTGGGCACGTGATGCTCGCACGCGCCGGCTGCGTTTCAAGGGAGTGGAGCGCGTATCCTTCGTGTTGAGTTCCAACCGCTCGGGAAATCTTTGTGCCTGAGCGGAGTGCGCCGCGAACGAAGGCTGGACCCACTCCCGTGAGCCTCTGGACCTCGCGACCACTGTGCATTGTGTGCCGCGCAGTCCAGCTGGTGGTTTGGTGTTCGGCATCCGAGTATCTATCTAAACAGACGCCGGAGCCATTCCCGGTAGCGGCCCGAACCGGCGAACTTTGTCTAACAACTTTTTTGCAGTTTTTCTTAGACAGCTCTTCTGAGGTTGTCTACAAGTAAGACCCTAGGGAAAGTAATTTCTCCAGCCACCCCGTCTGCTGTGTCACTTTCCTGTGTTGCTGGGGTTTTAGGCACGAGCACTGTGGGCTATAAATGCAGTTAAGTTCAGGTTACTTTTTCCTTAGAGGCCTAGAGTAGACCTTCCTTGGAGGTGCAGATGCTTTTGGATGAAATGCATCAATAAAGTTTGAATCGCATTCCTAAGATGGGTAAGAGTTTGCAAATCACTTATCTGTGCATTGTAATACATAGTAATATTGAAAGAATCTAAAAACGAAATATAAACAGAAACTTGAGTGTTATCGCAGGCAGCCCACTGCTGCTTTATGAAGCATCAGAACTGTTCTTTAATTGCTCATAGGTTTTCCTAAGCAGGAAAGGCTTTTTCTCTGGGCAAGTTCTTTCTTTCCTTTACTATTAGAATGTAAGCCCAAAACAGCAGAAATTTTTGTGTTTTATTCACTATTTCATTATCCCGAAGGGCAAAACTGCCTGGCACATGCCAATAAATACTTGGTAAACACAAATGTCTGTGAATGTTTTCTTCATCTTTTTGTAGTAAACATTGACAATCCTTCAAGATTCAAGTTAAATTACCTTAATGGGAACTTGAAAATGGGTCTCCATCATTTTTCCTTAGCACTTGTTCGTTCACTTATAATAGAGCACTTACTCTATATATTTTTCATTATTTTCTACTCCTCTTTTGTGCTAACCTCACCCTATCATCTCTCTCACACACTTGTTATGAGTTCCTTAATGGCGATGGTTATGGTTTTGTCATTTGTATTATAGAGCCAGAAAAGCGAATGGCATTTAGTGAATACACAGCAAAAGACTATTTACTGATTAAATAGATTGTTACTTTACTGATGGAGGTAAATAAATAAAAGACAAACTCAAGACACATTCAAGCTAAAACAACACAACCGGTCAGTTAAATATTGATATATATTCATTTATTGCTCATTGTGTGTTAATAAGAATATAACTGATAACTATGGTTCCTACTTTTATGCTAAAGAGTATATTACTTACTGCTCATTTGGAATCTGAGTTGTAAGAGTATTGTGTCTCGTGTCCAAATGTGTGGACCTCAAGATCAGCTTAATATTAGGAGACAGTTTAATGCAGTTAATCAATATTAAAGGAATAAAGGAGGGAAGTATCAAAAGATGTGTAAAATATTTTGATAGAATTCAGCCTTCATTCATTTAAAGGAACTCTTAGACACCACAACTAGAAGAGAGGTTTTTTTTTGTTGTTTTATTGTTTTGTTTTGTTTTTTTACCCAATAGAATATCTGAAAGAAATATCACACCTAATGATGAAACACTGAAAGCATTCCTTATTAGGTTGGGTATATGACAGAGATGATTGCTACTACCACTTTAATACAACATTGCATTAGATGTTCAGATATCCCAAAAAGGCATAAATGTTGGAAAGAAAGTTATACATAGGTGATTATTTAAAGATTTTTAAAGAGATTATATATAAAAAAGAATCTAATACAAATTATTGGAATTGAGAGTTTAGTAAGGTTACTGGATTTTTTTTTTAAAGTGTGAAGAAAGTGATCACATTATGTACTTACATTAGCAATGAAAGAAAATGTAATTTTAAAATATGCCATATTAAATAGCACCAAAAGTTATAAAATGTATAGAACAAATCTAACAAAGTATGTTTCCCAGCAGGAAAAAACTGGCACATTAAAATACAGAAGCTCAGCACAGTTTAATGAAGGGATCATTTGCTAAAGTGTGGTCAGGATCAAGAGTTGTCAACAAGAAATGGTGAAGAATCCCAAGGAGAAGGTGAGATACTAAGCACAGATCTGAAAGAGCCGCAGAAAGGGACCCTTATCTGAACCTGAATTTGCAGAAAGAGAGAGAGAGAGCGCGCTTGCGCTCATTTTGCTTGCAGCAGAATGCTACAGGGCAAGAGCTGAAATAATCAGTAGAGGAACACAACTGCTACCAACTATCATCAACCTGGGAGTGGGAAAGTAGTGGAGAAATGACTGTCTACCTAGATCTTCTATCCACCCCACTGGTCAAACAGCCAGAGACCGGAAGGCAAGGGAGCCCTTTGAAGGAGACCATTATGACAGGAACCATAGTGCAGAGGGGAGGAAAGAAAAACTGGTTGAGTAAATAGAGAAATATTCAACACAATGTTAAAGACCTCTATGGAGATTGATATATTTTGTTGAAAGGCGTTAAATAATATAAAAATAAATGAGAAGTGGATACATTGGTTTCAAGAGTTGGAAGATTCAGTATTGGAAAATGTCAGTGCTCCCTTGTTATATGCTGAATTGTGGCCCCTCTGCCCCAAATTCATATGTCCAAATCCCAGTCCTCACTACTCTCATAATGTGACTGTCTTTGGAGATAGAGCTTGTGATGAGATAAGTAAGGTAAAATGAGGTTATATGGATGGGCCCTAATTCACTGTCACTGTTGTCCTTAAGAGGAAATTAGGACATAGCAACAGAAACCAAGGAATGACCAGTTGAGGACATGAGAAGGAGGCCATCTGCCAAGGAGAGAGCCCTCAGAAGAAACCAGATCTGCTAACATGTTGATCTTGGACCTCTAAGCCTCTAGAACTGTGAAAAAATAAATTTCTGTTGTTGAAGCCATAAAGTTTGTGACATTCTGTTATAGCAGACCCAGAAAATTCATACATCATAAATTGATTTACAGATTCAATACAATTCAAACAAAGGCCCCAATTGTCCTTAAATAAAGCTTTTCATACTGATGTTAATAGTTATATAGAAAATAAAAAGTGCAAGAATAGCTAAGGCACTCTAGAAGAAGAAAAACAAGAAGAGAGGACTTCGCTAACTAGATACTAAGCAACCCGGAGTTGTCATAGAAATTTTGACAATGGCACTGGAATAAACAGAGAAAAAAAGGTACAGAATAAATAGTTCATATATATAGGAATCTAATTAATGACAAAGCTGCACTGTGGATCAGTGGGGAAATAATATTAAAAAATATATCATTTGCTAGGCAAACATGTTATCCATTTGAAAATGAGTGGATGCCCACCAAAAGTCATACATACCAGATGAAATAGAAAAGTATAAAATATGTAAAAGAAAAGGAGTGTCTATGATTTTTCAGTAAAGAAATATTTCATAAAATAAAGATCAAATATGCAAACCATAAAAATTGATGTTTACTATAGTCAAGATAAAAAATTCTATTGCAAAATAGCGCAGAGTTGAAATGGCAGGCCAAAGCAGTAAAAAATATATGCAACACATACTAGGAGGGATAAAAAAAACCCTAGAATTATTTTTTGGAGGGTGAGAGCCCCTTGTAGTACAGGCTTTCCCTGCTAGATAAGTCTTCTAGGAACCCATCAACATCATTGTACCCAGCTAGTGTTGTTATGAGAGGCTGTGTTTGGCATCACTGAATTCTTTTTTTTTCAGATTCTTTCAGTGGGTTTGCCCATTTCTTGATGGGCAATTGACAAGAGTACCTGCCCACACTGTGGTGATTGTTCAGCAGTTTTGACCAAAAAATGACATGGCCCGAGTACTACCCTCCCTATTCACCTCTCACCTTGAGTGACTTTTTTTGTTTCTCAGGATAAAGTCCTCAAAGGGAAATGTTTTGCTGTTGTGGAAGAGGTAAAACAAAAAAAGGCATAAGCACTAAACTGCATCAAAATTGATGAGTTAGTTGAAAAACTGTTTTGAGCAGTGGAAAAAGTATCTCAATAGGTGTATTGCATCAAACCGAGAGTACTTTGAAGGTGACTGAAGTTTAAACATGTAAGAATAGATACGCAATTTTTTAATAAATACTGGTTTTGTTGGATTCTCCTGCGTATAATTGACACCATGATAGTACAAGAATATATAAAGAACGCCTCATAATCATTAAGGAGACAGACAATTCAATAGACACATAGTAAACAGTGCTCAAACCCAGCAGTAATCAGAACAGTGTAAATTAAGCCCACCCTGTGAAATATTTTACATTTACCATCAGAAGAAAGTTAAAAGTCACACCATTCTTTAGTACTGGCAAGAATGTGAAGGAAGGGTATGGATAAGATTGTCAATTATAGCGACTATTTTAGAAAATAGTTGGCCAATAACAGTAATGCTGAAGCATATCCCATGATACATCACTTTCACTTCTCTATACATAACCTACAGAAACCTCTTCACATAATATAAGGAGACATGTAAAAGAATGTTCATGGCAGGACTGTTTGGAAAAACCAACATTTAGAAGAACAGAAATATCCATCCACAGTAGAATAGAATATAAACTCTGGTATACTCATACAAAGGAATACTATACAGAAGTGAATATGTAACAATATGTTGAGTATTCAACAATATGTTTTTTAATCCCAAAACCATGATTTGACAACACCTACAGATATTTTCATGCCTATAAGCTTTAAAAACTGTGCAAAATAAACCAAACATTGAGGGATCCAAACATGTAGCAAAATTATAAAGAAAAGCAAGGACTCGAATAGGATTGAAGATTGAGAAGCAGGGAATGAGACAGGCATACGGAACTTCAAATTTCTTTTCTTTTTCTTTTTTATTTTTTGAGTTGGAGTTTCACTCTGTCACCGATACTGAAGTGCAGTGGCACACTCCTGGTCACCGCAGCCTCGACCTGCTGGGCTCCAGAGATCTTTCCGCCTCAGCCTTCCAAGTAGCCAGAACTACAGGTGTGCGCTACCCACACCCTGCTAATTTTTTATTTATTGTAGAGACAAGGTCTTGCCAAATTGCCTGGGTGGTTCTCAAACCTGCGGGCTCAGGCAATTAATTTGCCTCGGCTTCCCGAAGTGCTGGGATTACAGGCTGAGCCACCAAGCCCAGCTGGAACTTCAAATTTCATTTTTTTCCCCTCAAAATGGATAGTGAGTACTCAGATGTTTGTTACAATGTTTTTATTATATTAGTTGTATATTTTTATAAATATCCTATAATATTTACTCAATATTTGCTGTAGACAGAATTCTGAGACAGCCCTCAATATTTCAGCCCCTTGGTATACCTACCCTGTACAAATTCCCTCTGAGGGCAGAAATTGTCAGAGTAGGATGGTAAGTGTCTACTTTGATTAGGTTACATCACATGAAAAAGGTAATGGGAAAGTCACTCCTTATCGAAGGCTTCATTTTAGCAGACCAAAAAGAGAGATTTTTCTGCTGGGCATGAAGAAGAAAACTGCCATGTTGTAGAAACAGGCCACATGCCGAGGACCTGAGAGCAGCTGCTAGAATCTAAGAGGACCTCACTATAAAATCTTAAGGAAATGAATTCTGCCAAAAATCCAAGGAAGCTGGAGTTGTATATTTTCCTAGTTGATCCTCAAGATGAGGACACAGCAGGCCAATATTTGATTTAAGCCATGTAAAATACTGAGGAGAAGTCGCAGCTAAAACATGGTAGATTCTTGATACATAGAAACTGTGTCCAGCTTCATTTATTGAAAAGACAATCCTCTATTAAATTGCTTTTGCATCTTTGTAAGGTAAACAAATCAGTTGGGCTTATTTGGCTAGGTCTGTTTTTCAGCTCTCTGGTTCCATTGATCTGTGGTCTATCCCTCCACCAACACTTCACTGTCTTGATTACTGTTGAGTATGCTGTAAGATTGGGAAATTGGATTAAGTCCTCCCCCCCACCCTTATTTTTCTATAACATTTTTCTTAAAAAGTAGACCAAGTTCGTAACAGATTTTGGTCACATATTTAGAATAGCTTCACAATAATAATAAGAACAAAATACAATTTTTGGAAAATAACTATTAGAGGAAAGGAAAACTACTCTCAGTGTTTAGGATACAAAAATAATATTATATAGTTACATTTTAAACACTTGATCAAGACTGAGTGTATGAGGTTCACACCTCTAATCCTAGCACTTTGGGAAGCTAAGGCAGGAGGATCACTTGAGGTCAGGAGTTCAAGACTAGCCTGGGCAATATATAACAAGACCTCATTTCTTTTTTTCTTTTTCTTTTCTGTCTTTTTTTTGGTCAGGGTCTCACTCTATCACCCAGGCTGGAGTGTAGTGGCATGATCGCAACGATCATGTGTCACAGCAGCCTCGACCCCCAGGGTTCATGTGATCCTTCTATTTTAGCATCCAAATAATTGGGACTGCGGGCATGTACCACCACACTCTGCTATTTTGTGTGTGTGTGTGTGTGTGTGTGTGTGTGTGTGTGTGTGTGTGTGTGTGTGTAGAGACCAGGTTTCACTATGTTGCCCGGGCTGATCTCGAACTTCTGGGTTCAAGCTATCTGACTGTCTTGGCCTCCCAAAGTGCTGAGATTACAGGCATGAGTCACCGTGCCTGGTTTATTTTAGGGAGGAGGTCTCACAAATTGCCCAGGCTGGTCTCGAACCCCTGGACTCAGGCAATCCTCTCACCTCTGCCTCCCAAAGTGCTGGGATTACAGGTGTGAGCCACTGCTGCACCCGGCTTGTTTTTCAATTTTTTGATTAACAAAGACACTATTGGCAATTTATTCTTCATTGGTATATTCAGCATGTTCTATGGAATTACAAATATTAAACAATATTAATAGATGTGATAGCATTAACTATGTTGTGTGATTCTTAACTTAAAATATTAAATGTAGGCATTCGTATTTAAAATAAGTAAAATAAGTGTTCCTGAGAAACCAGTAAAAAGCTTTATAAATTAAATGTTAATTGAAGAATTAAAAAATTTAAAATGACATACATAAGTTTTATTTCCCCATGCTTATTTTCTTGTCCCTTGGAGTGGCTTAACTCATTTCTTTTTATTTTGGAGTATTACTTTCCTCAAAAGGAGTGTTTCTGTTATCCAGAAAAGGAGAAAAACAACATCCATCAAGCAATCACAACAAAACTACAGAGTCTAATTGAAGTGTAATAGCAAGACTAAAACAACATACTCAGATGGTAACCATTACTGTAGAGAGGTCTTTGGGCAAGGATCATCAATAGATGCTAAATCTAGAAGGAAAAGTAAGATAAGAGCAGAATATTTGCCTGGTTTTCCCAACATTTTCTATTAGTTCCAAGGGGGAAAATAGCTACACAGTGAATAGACCATACAACATCTTGAACCAGGTATTAGCAGAAAAATTTTCACTGGTCTCCACTATTTTTGCACAACTTATGAACAGAGACACTGATTGCATTTTGTTCTGGATTATCTTTTAAAGGATTTTTATTTTTATAGCAAACAGCCTTAAAAGATAGAGTCTCCTTCCACAGAAAAAGGAAATAATGTTACTGCCCTTTATAAAAGATTTGGGTTCCCTCAGATCAAGATCTCTCTCCTGTAATGCAACTCACTGCATGTGTGTGCATTCATCAGAGCCTATTTGCACCACCCCTAGCAAACTTGGAGGCATGGGGCATAGATGTAAATATTCTGAATGTCATACTATCTGCAGCATCGTGAATGATGATATATCCTTTGTGTCTGACTCAGAAGTCATATCAGCATTGGTGAAATGTGGCAGGTTAAGTTTGTGAGCTTGTAAGTAGGGTAAAATCTCAGATCCTTCACAATTTTTGACACCAGTATCAAAATTAACATCACCAATGAGGGAT